AGATCTTTGATACTTTAGTATCGCGGCTTTCAAATCGAAAATCGGATTCTCCCTCCAAGCTACAGTTTTTGTAATGGAATTTTTAGTCAATATTCTGCCGAAATATGTAAGTTTAAAAACGTTTATTTTTAACATGTAGGGACCTTAAATGTTACGACAAATTTCTGGAGGATTTATGAAGCATATTCAGAATTAAAATTGCATAGGTACCAAAGTCCAAAAATGTCATCATACGCAGCTGAGTAGCGATGGCTCAGAGAGCATTCGTCTTCCAATGAGGTGAACCGGGTTCGAATCCCGGCGGTAGCTGATCGATATGAATTCCGCATCCGACTTGCTCCGACCACCGCGCTAACGTGAAATATCCTCAGTGGTAGATGGATCGTGGGTTAGAGTCCCCTTGCCGTCAGTCTAACTGAGAGAGGTTCTCGTGGTCTTCCTCTCCAGGTAACACAATGCGGGTTAATTCCATCAAAAAGTCCTCCACGGAGGCGAATTTCTCCCAATACTTGATCCAGGAGTTCCCTTGTCTTCTAGATTGGGTTCAAAATTACAAGGCTACGAGATAAACATTAGTAGTCGTGAAACCAAAAATTGGGTCGGCTGTTCAACGACGGTTATAATATAAAATAAAAGCATCCGCCGCTAGAGGCGCTTTCCCATCATGAACTGTTTCTTTATTTGATTCTGACCTGGTCATAATAGGAAATCGCCCTTAGTAGCGTATGACGACGATTTCGGACACTGGTTCCAATGCGATTTTAATCCTGATGTGCGCTAACCTCGCTAGGAGTTCGCCCTTGTTAAAAATACCGTTTTTAAACTTGTGCACTTCGACAAAATATATTTATTTTTTAAAATTTCTTAAAAAAAATTCTGTAACTTTATGATTTCCACACCTAAATTACGCAAAATCAAGTATTTATATCAATGTAACAAAAAAATTGTTCCCCGTTGTGATGGGCAGTTTTGCCAATAACGTATGCCTGATTGCTCGGAAGGCTCATGAAATTACTCTTTTTAGCGAATCCTATGCCATTTTTATACCTGTTGTGAGTTTGTAACAGTTACTCATGACTGTTACGTTAAGTTTTGCTCTTATTTAGGCATTGCCTTTTATGCTATTTATTAACATGAATGATAGCTATAGTAAAAGAAAAGCGTTTGTGATAGATTCTATTTTATATTTAAATAGAGAGCTCCAACGCTGCTTTGTTAGGGCTCCATAAGGTATGCAAACATAAAGGCATTATTCTTAATTTTTTTTTCAATTATTATGAAAATATTATAATTCTATACAATTATTGGGAAATTATAGCTGTAACTGATTTCTTCTATACAATAAAAATAAATATTTAATAAAGTTTGGAAGTTCCCTAAATGTTCACAATGGATTTAAAACCTGTGTTGTTAATGCCTTATTGAAGTGATTGCAAAGAAAGAAAGAAAAGAAAAAGAAAGGAAGAGAATGAAATATGTTGTAACTCAGTGTTTATAATCTACAACAGTATCTCAAATAGATAGCAGTGTGATGACTATTTCCTTCATTCCGCTCATTGCATTCACTAAAATAGATAGTTTGTGATTCGTTCACCACGAAACAATTATTTAATAACTCAATGAATAAGAATTTAATTTTAGTTATACTTTCCAAAAATGAGTTTGCATTCCCCTTAAAATTATTTATTTTATTCTTCATTTCAAAATTTTTTTGAAAAGTTACTTTTTTTTTAAAAAATTTTTATATTTTAATTAAACTTTATCGAAAAGATAAAAGAAAAAATCTGAAAATGCAGCAGTCTTTTAATGGTTATAGCGTACATAATTCTCTTTATTTACTTGGGGTTCCACCGGAATATGCTTGATTATTCAGAGTTCCATTGTCAGAAAAAAAAATTTGGGAAACGCTGATCAAACTTGCCAAAACTTCGATGCGTATTCAAAGTCTGTCGCTTGCTAAAATGGGTTATTTCGAATTTTCGCCGCCTGACTCGTAGAACTTTTTAACAATATTCAGACTACTTTTTTTATTTAATAATTGCCATTCATTACAACAAACAGGATTTTTCTAAATTAGATATTTATGATATGCGATACAGTAATTTTAATTTATACTCCATTTTTATTCCAGGATTTTTATTTTTTAAACCAACAGACCAGAAGCAGTCAATTAATTTATATCAACCAAATTTAGTTTAAATTACTTTCAAAAAAAGTAAAGATGTTGTTATGCTGCCGTGGAGGTGCCACAAAGCGTTCACAACTTCAAGACTTATGTTTAATTGTTATTTCAAAGGGAAAAATTTCAGAATAGAATTGATAGTGTTTGGGATAAATGTAAGATCCCTTCCCGGTCTTTGGTAAGATCCACACTTGTGTAAGACAGTCTAAATTTCTGTTTTTATCAAACTATTTCACTATTTTAAATTTCTTTTGAAGTTCTGTCTTAAAAGGAAAAAAAGAAAACTAAAAAATTTTTCTCAAAAGTAAATAGATTATTTTTCATTTCTTTTTCCTTGTGTAGAAAAGTGCCTTTAAAGATGAATATGGTTTCCACTTTAAAACAATAGGACAATCAAAGTTACAATAAATTGTTGCCAAAAACGGGAAGAAAAAAAACACTCGCATACACTTTCAAGAAGAAGAAAATTGCTTTTGAGTTTTCAAAACGTAAGCAGACTACAATAATCTCAGCGCTTCGATTTAAATAAATAGAATATGAGCGGATGTTAAAATGACACTTAAATATATTTTTTTATTCGAAATTTTTAAAATTTTTGAGCAATTTATTTAATACAGGTTTCCAAATTTAACAATTCTAAATTGTTAAAGTAAATTCTGTGTTCTTAAAACAATCATTTTCATGCGTTCAGCTATTTCAAAATAATTCAGTAGACAGACTTCTTTCTTTATTCGAAAGGGAAATAAATTCATAACCATTTTTTTACATACATTGTTAACAAGCATAAAATATTAGCGAAAAAAATATTTTTTAAGAAATAGGAAAAAATCTTGAATTTACATCAATAATTCGCTTGCTTTCATTTTTTAAGCAGATTGGAAGATTAAATGGGAAATTATAAGGCTGCGGTACGCACGCGTCTTCTAAGAAGAGTCTTTTACTTTATCGAGCATTTAATCAAGACCTCTTAGAAGAGAGAATTCCTCCCTACGGATAAACTTAGTAGTCCGACGTAAAGACTGTCCAGCAAAGAGAAATAAAGATGTCAGATCGTTCGGGCAACTAAACTGCGCAGTGGGGGTATTCGAAATATGTCAATACGCTCGTATTACTAAAAGATCGAATTTCTGTTCTTGCTAACCCGTGCGGATACCTTATCTTTTCTAGATAGTTTTGGTATAGTACCGCAGAATTTCTCATACAATATTTTATTAATTATATTATAAAAGAATTTAACGAGAAACATTTTTTCCTACACTCTCAATGTTCTTCCCTATTCTATCACGTAGCTTAGGTAGAGCAATAAAGTACGTACATATTTATTGATTACCTGTTCAAAGATATAGCAATCAATATTTTGTCATTACGAATCAGTTGTTAAAAACTAATTTCTCTCAATAGCTTTGCCTTGATTTTGAATTAAAAATTTCTCCAATGAATAAAAATAATTCTCCCAGTGTTTTTTTTATTTCTTTTTTTTTCTTTTTGTGGACGAATAAATTGATTTACACTTAAAAAAAATTTTTTTAATTTAATGAAAATAAAATAAAAAGAGCAAATTAGTTTATTTACTTTATTTTCTTACGTTACTAATTTTTTGACCGTATTTTATTTACTAATTTTTTGACCGCAAAGTAATAAAAACCAGAACTAGGAATCGCACTTCTAAATTTTTGGGGGGATATTGAGGTAAAACGTGTCTTACACACTATTGATCATTAGTTTTTAAGTGCAGTTTAATGGCATAACAACCAGATGAGACTTTACTAATTAAAACTAATATTTAAGGGGGGGGGATGCAATTATACGACGAATCAAAAGCAACAAAATCAAACGATACCATCTATCGTGTCTGACGCGAAACACAACTGAGAAGAAACTACTGACCAAATGGATGAGCGACCACTGAGATGACCGCTTGGATGAAAGACCAGTGAGGCAAGTTGGGATCCTGTGCCGCGTATTTATCTTAAGATATACTCCCCCCCCCCCCTTCTATAAAGAATGAGATTCTTTGAGACTGAGATTTTTTTTAAAAATTTATTTACTTGCATTGAAAAAATTTTAATATTTTCTAGATAATGATTATTAAAAAATAATGGTTTATCCTGAAAGATCGGAAATAAAATATGGACCATCTTTTCCAAAATTTTGTGATTTTAGTAAATAGATTAAAATTACATCATAAGTTAATGTTTCAGCAAAAAGTTTTATGCATTACTTAAAGCACTGTTAGAGATAGTAATTTACTTGTTTTAGTTAGTATAAAAATTAATTTTTCATTAAAATACTGAATATTTTTGTCTTAACATAATTTTAGCTATTTGCAACTTCGATATTTTAAATTCTTTAAGTCTCATGGAATTCGTTACATACAAATATATTTATTATTATTTTTTAACAGTAATTTCTATTTGTTTACTTATCGTACACTTAAATTGTTTTTAATTGTAATTTGTAATATATCTAAGCATCAAAAATAATATTAGCCAATAAATATCCTAATTTGTTTACTCACACGCAAGATTGACATCAAACAGACTTTAATGTACTAAAAGCATTAAAACTAATCCGAGATACGAAAACTAATATTTAGATATGGGTTAAATAGGAGACACATGAGATTTTAAGTCTATAATTTTTAAAAATTTATAAATAGTACAAAAATGCCGATAATTGTATCAGTAATTGAAATATAATTTTGTTTTAAAATTATTCGAAATGTTAACATTGAAATACATTTTCAACCAAATTTTTTAAACCGAGTTTACTTAAAAGCATTTTAAAATAATTGTCTAAAAATAAAAAGGAGACTCACCTATATTTACAATTTTAATCCCTTCATCGATTTCCAAAAATTTCAAAGCAACTGATACATTTTCCAATTTTTGTGATCTAAAAGAGGGTCTTTTGTTGTGTTTAGGTAATCGTCTGCCGGACAATACTTCCACTAAAGCAATTAATCTTAATCCGTCAGAAAGATCCGATTCCAAATTTGAGATTGTTTTATTTACTGTTTTCAGGTGCTCGTTCGCCCACCTCGTGAAGGTGTTCTGTTGTATTCTTTTCCACACCGCATCCTCGGCTAAGTCACGTTCCATTTCGTCTGGCTCGTTCTCCACTTGTTGTCCACCCTGAGCCAGGTTTCCATTTGCAGTCGTCTGCTGTTGCTGCATTTTTGATAGTTTTTCACTTCACTTCTTAGCGCCACTAGTGACCTCACTTCCTTCAAAGAAGCGGTTTTTTCAAATTTCTTTTTTCTCTTTTACGCTGCAAAAAGATGGAATATATTAGAATGCTTATTATTTTTACAAAAAATATGACTGATAGTTTTCATTTGTAACAGCCATTGCCTTTAGTAAATAACCAAAGAAAATTTTGTTACTATTTTTTCAAATTTAATTTAATTAAATAAAGAAATGAATAAAATGAAACCTCTTTTGGTCCGTAGAAGCAACGTGCAATTTAATATTTTTTTGTTAAAAAAATGTCAATGGATATTAAATAAATTTCACGAAAAGTGCATAATATGCTATTTTTATTCTTTAAAAAAATCTAGCTATTGTAAAGCTAGCTTGAATAAAGTATTCGAGTACTTTTATTCATTTATAATGGTTTCAGTGTGCGAACCTTCTTAATCATAGTCTCTTGGATAATTAATGTCATTACATACAGCAGACTTTTGTGTTAGACCAACATTCCTCATCAAATTAAAAGCATGATAACTAAATTTATATTGTGAGAATTGAATTCTTATTTTTCCTCTCTTAATATTAATTGCTGATGTGCATCGCATTTTTATTATTAAAATTTTTTTTTTAAATTATTAAGGATAGTTATTACGGAACACCCTACATATATACAGGCTTAAACTTATAGTATGTAGGCTAAACGTAGTTTAAAGGTTTTTATTTTATTTATTCTTCAATTTAATTTTGTATCTGTTAAATTGCTTATTGATATGTTATGGAAGTAGTCAAAATTTCGATTAGCTATAAATTTTACTTGGTGATAATATGATAATGAATTCTGCAAATAATGGTCATTAAAGAATTGTTGTTGTTGTTGTAGTTCATTTACGTCGCACTAGAGCTGCACAATGGGCTATTGGCGACGGCCTGGGAAGCATCCCTGAGGATGATCCGAAGACGTGCAATCACAATTTTGATCCTCTGTAAAGGGGATGGCACCCCCGCTTCGGTAGCCCGACGACCTGCGCGTCGAGCAAAGTCGAGCACTTTGAGGAAGAACAGTTTAATGAGGACCAATACCGCACACCCTCCGTCCCTACGCAGACTAATCCAAGTGGTCACCCACCCTCACACAGACAGCAGCCAGTGATGCTTGACTTCGGTGATCTGTTGGGAACCGTGTCTTAACGATCAGTTCACTGCGGGACCATTAAACAATTGAAACCTTCATTGTCATCTAGCTCAGAGCTCTTGATAAAATTTAAACACGCTAGTTAGTCGGAAAATTGTCAAAATTTTTAATGACTCTGTATAAATTCCTTAAGTGCTGTTGAAGCTATCAGGAAACTATAAGAAATTTTATTGTTATCCGACACAGAGCTTTAGTGAAGTTCTGAAAACTTTAGCCGGTAGGAAAGTGATCGGATTATTGATTGACGATAAGTCCTGATAGACAATTATAAAATGACAACAAATTCTACTTATAACACAGAAGAAAAAAAAAGGAAGAAAAAAAAACGACTGAGGTCATTAGTCACAGCTCCGTGAAAATGTGAGTGCTTCAGCTAATCCGAAAATGAGAAAATCAAAATTGAGAAAATTTATCCTCACAGATCACAGAGTTGCTGAACACAAAGTTTATAGAAAATATTACTTCGACCTTTATAGGTTAAAATATAAAATGTTTTTCTTTTTAAAAAAATTAGGACAGTTGTGTTTTTCATAGTGTGGTGTGAATTTAAATAAATATGCTTCCAAGTTTGTTAATTCTTTTAAAAAATCTTACAACTAAGCCAAAAATTCATGCCATTTGAGTTTTAAAACTGAAAGTATTTCGTTTCCTTTCAAAAATTTGGAGTAATGCATGTTTCCATCTTTGCCCGGTTATTTTACTGCTTAAAAAATTAAATATATTTCAATTTCATGGATAATTAAATAAAAACTTTAACATTCCGGGAACTTTTAACTGCAGGATATTATTTTAATTTCATCTTTAAATTGCACAACGCAAATATTTTGAAAATGTTTCAAAACTGGAGAAACTTTTTCACTATTAATACTGCATGACATAGAATCGGGCCCTGATTTAACGAATCGAAAGAGCATAGATCCGTCAGCATGGTGTGATATTTTAGTTAAAATTTATCACAATATTTTTTTTTCTCCATATAATTTCTTTCTACGGGTTCCATTCAAATGAGAAGAATTCTTCTCTTCTTCTGAAATTCCTTTTTTTTTTTTTTTTTTTGCATGCATTTTTCAATTGTATTTTTAGAAATTCGATCTCAAGATTACTTTCCAAAATATAGAATATTCTAGACACAGTTTTAGTATTTTTCCTTCTCAGTTTTGCCCTATTAAGCAACTTGATGTAGTCTGCAGAGGCGAGACGTAGCTAGGGCTTGTAGCGCTCGGGGACAAATTCAATTTTTGCTCCCCTCGAAATACGATGACAGCCTTATTAATAGACTATGCTTTTAGGGACCATTTTGAATCTCTGATAATTTAAAACTGCATTCTGATTGTAATATATAGAGTAAATAAAATTTTACAAACTTTTAATATTATTTCGTAAAACATCGAAACCCGGTAACTTTAAGCTTTTTCATTCGAGATTTTTTTTTTTTTTTTAGATCTAATATCAAACTATATCATTAATGAAGCTTCTGTTACACTTTGAATGTTTATGATTTTAAGTAATTGTATAATAAGAATTATTTTGAAGTATTTTTTCATTCAATATTTCAGTCCTTTTTTTTTTTTTAAGTTCTAAAAAACCTAGCATAGAATGAAAACTACAATTGCATTAAACATTTTATTTAATATATTTAATATATTATTAGTTAAAAATTTTTGAAAGCTTACAGGCCCGTAATTAGCAAATGAAATAGGTAATATTTATAAAAATATTTTATCATTAAATTTTGTTCTAATTATGTTGCTTGAGTTTAACGCCCCTATGAAGCTGCACCCGGGGACATATGTCCCCTCTAGCTAAGCCACTGGCAACCTGTAGCTAGCTTTAATGAAAAAAATTATACAAACCGAGTTTTGTGGTCCAAAGCTTCTGTCAGATCAGATTTTATCAAACAAAACCGTTTTGTTGGCACCAAGGAAAGTTTTTTTTTTCTTTTCTGAATAAGATGAACACAGTTATTTGAAAATCAATTCAGTATTTTTCTCATCCAAACTAAAAATAAATAAATAAATAAAATAAAGTTAAGAAAGAAAATTGTTCAATGAAATCATTTTGATATGCAGAATGTAATAATTAAATGCATTATCCGTCAGTTAAACAGGAATTTTGCGTTCATTTTAATTTGGAAGAAAAATGTTCCTTAAATAGCGAAATTCGTTAATTAAGGGTGCGATAGATCGGGGTGTAAAGTTTTTAAATTACTGAATATTCTTGAAGTTAATTTCCTAGACAGATCATCTTCCTAGATCGTAGGCGTTTAGGATACCACCGGAAAATTTATCTCCCAAACCGCATACACTAATAGTTGTTTAACACGTCACTGTTATGACGTCACATTTCATTGGAAATGAAGATGATGTCATCTTTCCTTTAAGTATCCAGACAGATTTTTTAAGAAGAATAAGAAAAGGATGGAGTGCATGATTGCTTAGGGGTGATGGGGAGGAGAGTATATCTTTATAAGGAAATGATTGGTTTTAAGGAATGCCGCCAATTCTCATTTTTGCAGCTGTCAGTTGCCATATGTGTGATATGTTTTCCTCCGTTTTCCATCACTTTATGTTTCAGTAATATGTGTGGGTCTGGTTTTTATTTGAAATACAAACAAATTATAGAACTGCACGTGAATTAAAGCATGGCTGGTTTTATTAAATAATTTAATGCTGTATATATATATAAAAAAAAAACAGCTACATTTTTATCAAACCGGGAGGCAATGAGTTTTTAACACATTTAAATTGATTATTAAAGGTATGAGTAACGCTGGCTTCTACTTAATTATAATGTTAAAAAGTTACAAAAATGACTTAAGAATTTTTCGAAATTAATTATACAACCGAAATAGGGAACAACAGCTATAATCTTCGCTTTACAGTTGTTTAAAACTATTTTGTTTATGCGCAAACAAAGCTTTATACTTTGATAACGAATTCATTTTTTAAAAACCTTATACAGATATTTTTTATTCTATTTTACGCAAAATAAACAGGGGGGAGAGAGAACCTCAACAAGAATAAAGAGGAAGAAGAAAAAAAAGCATTACAAGAAGATCAGCCAGTTAAGATAGAATAAAATTAAATAAAAAATAAGAAAAGAATCTGAAAATATATTTATTTAATTTTTTGAAGAAATTGGGCTCTGATAAACTGAATCTCTTCGAGTGTTCATTTCTTTATTGGTGGTTACACAATCAAAGTTACAGTTAATTTATAAAATGCAATATGGACACTCAGATCAAGTAATTGAAAAGTTTCATTTCAATATCTTGATGTCAGAACAAAAAATTTTCAAAAAAGAAAAAACAAGAAATAAATTATCTTCGGCAATCATTTAAAAAAAATACACTATTTTAATTAATGTTATCTATGATAAGACTTGGAATTATTTTAAAATATTATTTTAAAACTGCAATTTATTATTTAGAAAAAATAAATTATTACTTCTGTTTTTGTTTTATTTAAAATTGATTATTACTTTTTATTTTATTTTTACTTTTAACAAAAAGCTACTTTTAATAAAAGACGTATGCACTGTAAAATGTTTTGGTGTTTAGTTGTCAACATGTTTGGTGTCGAAGTAAACTAAATAAATTTTTAACTACAGAACTGTAGTTCTCACATAAAAACTTATAAAAAATTGACAAAATAACATTGATTACGAAAAATAAGAGCAACTATATTCTTAAAAATATGCTTGTTACTCAAACTAAATATTTTTGAAATGAAGCCATGCATTGATTTTAATGCGATTGAAAGTATATATTATCAGTAAACAAGCAAATAAAAAATGAATAAATAAATAAATGAAACTATAGCAGTAAAAAAGTAAATAAAGAAATGCACTGTCAAAAATTTTAGTTTACCTCGACACCGAAAATGGTGACAACTGTTTACCAAATTTTTTTTTACAGTGTACAAGCTTATAAACATGAGTATCTAAACAATCAATGTTCACAAAAATTCCAATTTTAAACATTGCTATATACATAGATACAAATCTACATTTAAAAAAAATTGTTGAGGCGTTCCTGAAAAAAAAAAATTTCTGGAAGGTCTTAGTGCCTTTATTGTGCAAAAGTGGCAAAAGCTTAATGAAAATAAGTGGTAGCAAATTTAAGATATTGTGTAAGTGAACAGTTTATCGTTTTGCTTAATTTAAAAATTAATGTCGGTAAAATATTAAATCGCTATAAATAATCGAATATCTTTCTTTATTTACAAGTATTTTGCGTGTTTACTCCTCTAGAAACTGATAATAAATAAGGAAGTTGAGCCGTTACTAATTTATTTATTCATTTATTTAAAAACATCCAAAAATCGATTCTTACTGTCTCGCCTTAAGCATTCAGATAGTTGGCAATGTTTCCGGTTTCTCCGGAAGATTTTAGTTTTGTATTTAAATAAGCAGTAAAATTTATACTTTGAAATTACATTCTTTGTTTCATCATTAAATTCGATTTAAAATTATATCGGCTACCCTGTCTAAATAATTCAGAAGGTCTGATTTGATGCGGTTTTAAGAGATGACAAAATTTTTAAAAATTTCTGCTTATAGTTATCTGCTTATAGGAAATATATTCCATGGAAATGGCAGTTATACTTTCGCTTTTAGTAAACATGAATGCGATATGCGAATGGTGCTAGGTGGTTTCATATTTAAATAAAAAAATAAATGTGTTATAGTTTAGCTTGAATCTTTTTTTGTGGAAACAAATTTTAATGAGTCGTTACGTGGTTGCAACATCTAAATCTTGAGCCATCAACAGGTACTTGAACCTTGCATCTCTTAAGGAATCTTCCACGCTTGAATATTTGATAGTTGGCCGATTTCCAAACTATGAAAACTGTCCAAAGAAAAATAATCTTGGATTTCACTCGAGTTGTAACTGTATCACATTTCTCAGCTTAATTACTGAGATAACAAGAAATGGTCACTCACATTCTCTCGAAATACATTATTAAGGAATGATTCATAATTTTGACATTCCATCTTGTTTATCCTTTCCTCAACTTTTATTCTATGAGCAACGAAAATGCTTAAAACATTTCCAAGATCCTTATAAAATTTTGATCACTACAGATTTTGGGAATTAAAAACAGACCAAATTTTCAGTACTATTAATTTTGTTTTTAAGTTAATGTTGCTCGATCTATTTAAGACATATTATAATAAAAAAGTTTATAAAAAAATAGGGCAGTGTTGCTAACTTATTTTACCATTTTTGTGTTATAAGAAAATAAACTTCAAGCATAATAATAATCAACATGCCATTTCCAGCCTCAATGTTATTAATATATGATTATAAACTTTTACACCTTGAAGGCGTTTAGAAATCCTTACCTTTTTTTAAACACCCTATAAAAGAAGGTAAGAAGATGGAAGCGGTCCTCAAGATATTAAGTTCCTCAAACATGAGTCAGTATTTGAAATTTAGTAGAGAAGTTAAATTGTAATTGAAATTTTCCATTCCCTTTTATTTGAAAAATTAAAATTACTCTCATCTCATTCCTGAGGGTAGAGATAAAAATTAAGTGGAATATTCTAGAATAGTTGGAATTTGATACAGATGTTTTAAAAATAAATTGCATATGAAAAAAGTTTTATTTAGCAATTTTTTTTAGAGAAAATGCATTTCTTAAGGTTTTTCCCAGACTTTACAGTTTTACCCTATATACTTACCTTTTTTGGAAAAGTAACCTATTTCGACTTTTGAAACCTTCGCCGTAAAGAAGTAAATAAAAAAAAATCATGTAACTCATAAGAGTTATTTCATTCCAGCTTATCTTCAGGGAGCTGGCGCTGTTAATCTTTAATATTCATATTATCCAATTTCCCCATAATAATAATTATGAAATAAAAATCAAGTAATCATGCGTATTTAAAATCTCACCAGCATTTAAAAACATGCTCATTGGGTCTTTTATAGGTATTTTGTAAATTATTTAACTATCAAATCATCTCAAAATTATTTTAAAACATGAACTATTCCATTATTTTGCATAAATTTTGCTCTGCAAACGCTGTTCTGCTAAGGACGCTTCCACTTCAAATAAAAATAAATCAACGAAAGTTGTATAGATATGCCAACTACTCCACAGGCTGCAAAATCTTTTATTGTGCTTTCAGAATTTTATCAACACTTTAAAAGGCTCCGTAAGAGATAACTGCAGAAAAGTGGCATTTACAGGGATTGAGCAAAATAATGGAAATACTTCGATATATATTCATTTTTTCGTATTTCTCAAGAAATATTTAGAGAATTATTTTAAAACTTTATAAGTGTTTAAGTCATGCGATCTCTCATAAATATCAGTGAAGCTTTAATAATTGAGGGACCGACAATAAATAACGAACGAAAAAGAATGTTTTTGAACACTCTAGGCCAAAAAATACAGCGTTAACTCATGTCAATTAAGTTGATTATCATACGAAATAAATGCACTAAATTTCGTAAACCTAGCTTAAATATTCATGGAACTATGGACATTTTCATTAAAACTGTTTTTTACTAACGTTTTCTTAGTATAACTGCGAAAGTATTCAAAAAAAATTAAACAAATTTATTGAATAATTTTCAATTAAAAATAAAAATATCATTTTAAATTTTGAAAAGTAAAAACAAATCGTTGAAAATTGAGCAAGATATGAGTTTTTAAAGTAATCCATTCATACTACGCATGCGGAAAAAACATTTAAAAAAAATTTTTTTCTCATAATTTTGTTTGTAATTGTATTTTGTAACTAATGAAAGAAAAAACGATTTGAATATCTTGAAAATGTAAAAAGTTTAACTAGCAAACTTCTACTTAAAACTTTTTTTTTTAATTTTATTGAATATTTCTGCAGTTATAGTAAGAAAACGTAAGTAAAAAAAATCGGGAAATATCAGGAATCTATAAATTAAATCAGGAATCATACATTAAAATGTAACCTGATAAGTGAATTTAGTCCACCAAACGGAGCTAGTACACATTTCTGGTTGTATGTTAATA